ATTATATATATATATATATATATATATATATATATATTGAATATATTGTATAATTTATTTAAAATTATTACCTATAATAATTCTAAATCTTATAAATTAATTTATTATTTTTGTTTCTTGCTCTTTTTATTAAAAAAAAATTTGTCATTAGGAAACATGTTAATCATAAGTATTTATATGTTAAAACCATATTACTTTATTTCTCTCTTGTTTCTTGGTTTAAAATAATGTTTTCATAGAAAAATGTATAATTTAGAATATAACATTTATTTTATTTACAGCCAGATGCTAAAATTCCCTTGCCATTAGAGCCTATAAAGTCAAATCAGGTTGAGGACAGACGCTTATGGGTGGGCAACTTAGATTTAAGAATTAATGAGTAAGTATTTACATGATTATAATATCTTCTATGAGAAAGATTTTTTGATGGTTTTGAAGTAAAGAAAGTTTTTGGCATTACAACAAACTTTGAAAAGAAAAAACTAACGCCCTTTTTGTCAACCGGTACCAACTCCTGAAACTTGTCCAAAAATACGGCACAATCGAAAAGTTCGACCTGCTGTTTCATCGATCGGGACCTCAAGCTGGTCAGCCAAGGGGATATGCATTTGTTACATACAAAACGATTCAGGATGCTAAAACGGCAAAAGATGCTTTACATAACTTGAAAGTTGGAGCTAAGAATATTATTGTCAGATGGGCACATAATGTCACTGAGGTACACATAGTTTAAAATATATAATTTTAATTTAAAATTTAATAATTTTTGATTATACAATAATTTTTTATTATACAGTTGTAAAATTGATAAAGAATCTAATAATAAATATTTAGTTTTGAATAACTTTGCAAAAAACTAAATTATATAAAAAATAAATTATTGTTTAGTCGGACATGGATAAACCAAAACCAAAGATAGATATTCCTGCCTTAGCTGGCGCAAAAAAGGAAGATAAGAAAATAAGGTAATAATTTTATATACTTTTCTTGAATAGTAATTATATAAAGAGGATATAAAATAAGGAATCCTCAATTGAGATTTGCATGAATGTAATTTTCTTGTAGTCGTGAAACAGCAATTCAAGCAATCGAAGCAAAACTCAAATTAATGAAGGAATCAGAAGAGGAATTTGAGTTGAACAAACCTTTGGAAGGATCGCCAATTTTACACCTTTATCAAAAAACGGAGAATCAAAAACCGTCCACCTCTACGCGTTATAACAACCGTGGAAGTTATCATCACAATAAGCCATACAGTCGCCACAAATTAAGAAGATAATTCATATATATTTTATATATTTTTTATCTCATTTAACGATCATACTTGGTTCATGATATTTCTATTATTTATAACGTTAGGTCTACATTTTAATACTATTAAAAAGTTTTGCCCTTGTATATTAAAGAACTTTGTATATATTTTCCTGTTGAGATGCTTACATGTCCACAAAGCAATTCGACTTTTCGATTGCAGACAGACACGTCGATTCCTATAAATGAGCAGATATGAGAAATTAATATTAGAGCTACGAATATTTCAAATTGTCCGTGATATAATGCTCTCGATACGTACGTCGACGTACGTGTGTATTTTCATAACATAGGGAGATCTTTTTTATGGCAAACGTATACATGACATGCTTTGGAACAAAAGTGTAAAAGTTATTTTCATCGTTTATACTTTTGGATAATCAAGGATACACACACACACACACACACACATATATATATATATATACACACAGCATACACGTAATACATCCACACGTATGTATATATAATACATACAAATTATAATACAAATGTAACCAAAATTTTTAATAATTTCAACTTGTCTAGTCTTTATTCAATCTTTCCCTTATGATCTTCCCACGCATGTGATCTGGTAGGGGCACTACGCCAGGACACGGCACTTGTCCTAGGATGTGACATATACAACTCCTGGGGCAACCTACGCCGAAATTCGCTGGATTATCTTTTTTTGCTAAAGCCAAGGCTTCCTGAATCAATATGTTCTTTGGTTTTCCCACTACTTTTATAAGATGCTCAAGTATCTCGTCCTTAGATTTGCTGTCTACATCTATTAGCATTGTCTTACCATCCTCTGCAAAATAGATGTTTCTTATTACATTATAATTTCCCAAACAAGACTGATTCTATAAAACAAAAGCTATAAATTTGCTAAAAATGCTTAAATATTTGCAGGAACATAACATTGCACTAATAAAATTTTAGTGTTTTTGACTAGAAACACTGAATAGAATCTTGTAATCATTTCCATGAAATGACACATTTCTGCTTGTCATATGACAAATAAAATATTATGCTAAATTATAGTATTCTTTTGGAATGAAAATCTACTTAGCAAAAAAAAAAAGAATTGAGATTTATCTTTACTTATGTAGATTAACTTTAATTTTGGTTTAATATACTTTATTTTTTTAATTCTTAGAATTAAACAAAAGATAAAAAAAATTAAACAGAGATTAAAATTAATCATTGGTAGGAATTAACATAAGCTTGGCACAAGAACTGAAAATAAATGCAATTAATATCAATCAGCTATAATATCTTGCCAGCATACTGCGAATATTTTGCTTGTTGGTTTCGCTATTCTAATCCCATAATAAACAAATCTCATTTGAAATCACATAAATTATAATTACCATAGTAGCATTTTATGAATGGCGACGGGGTTATGTTCTTAAAAGTAACTATCTGCACATCTGGATTCTTGTACTGCAGTTGTGATAGATGCCAAAATACGAATTCTCTGCGAGGAAAAGAACATAGAAAAGAAGCTCATTAAATCATACAGAACATCAAATTACACCTAATGCATAACCTTCGTACCTTATGCCCCGGTGATGCTTGCCGAATGTGTTGTAATTGATGGACAGTATTTGAATCTTATCCTTCAGGTACAATTTGCCGGCCATCAGATACTTTACCGTACGCCGAATGGGTTCCTTGCCTATCATAAACGGCATCCTGCACGATTCTATTTGCTCCAATTCGCGTGTTTACTAATCCACCGTCTTCTTCCTCTTCAAATCCCCTCTTGGGGGCTTTCCGTCCCGCTAAAGCGATCCCACCGTCGCAAATATCGGTCGGTACGACGAGTCCAACCTCTCCTTCTTTCACTTACCGGCTCGAAAGCGCGAACGTGTGCACGTGCTCCGGATTTTATCTTGCCCTCCTCTCCTTTCCCTTTCGACCCCCTGACGCGCTCTCGTTAGCGATACAAGCCGCGTGTTCGATCAGCTGTGTTCGCTCGCATATTTCCGTGTTCCACCTGACGGTAAGTCTCGCATTGTAAATCTATTGTCCTTCCCTGTTGTGCTAAATCTCGGTTGGAAACTGCAGAATTCAAATGTGAAAAAGGAGTTGTGCGTTTTTTGTTTGGATATTTTTTATGACTCACCTGTGTGTTTGGTGTCTGATGCAACCTGAGACCATATGGCAAATCATGTTGTAGAATATCTGATAGAATTCGTAATGCTGCTGTGACTTTATAGAAGTTGGCGAGCTCCGAGATATCACGATGACGAGCAGCGTGAATGCAAAGCAGATACGGCAAGCTTACATCGACTTCTTCAAAGGCAAGGGTCATGAATATGTGCACTCAAGCTCGACGATACCCCACGACGACCCGACTTTGCTTTTCACCAACGCCGGAATGAATCAGGTATGGCCTGATACATTTCAGCTTTGTTATTCAGTGTTTTATTGATTATATTTTTCTTATATTTTTCTTATATTTTATGCATTTTAGTTCAAGCCAATATTCTTAGGAACAGTTGATCCCAATAGTGATATGGCAAAGTGGATACGGGTAGTAAATAGTCAGAAGTGCATTCGAGCTGGAGGCAAACACAATGATCTGGACGACGTTGGCAAAGATGTTTATCATCATACATTCTTTGAGATGATGGGAAATTGGTCCTTTGGCGATTATTTTAAAGTAATCTCATGGCTTGATCGTTTATTTAAATGTTTTAATGTGTAATCTTGGAGATTTATATTCGTTTACTTTCTAGAAAGAGATATGTGCTTGGGCTTGGGAATTTTTGACTGAGGTATTAAAACTATCAGCTGATAGATTGTACGTGACATACTTCGGCGGTGATGAAAAGAATGGATTAGCTCCTGATGATGAATGCAAGAATCTATGGCTTTCTCTTGGGTATTGTTATTATTTTAATATAATTCTAATACTTGTTTATATCGATAATTTTATATATTATTTAAAATTAAATCTGCAGAATACCTGCCTCGCATGTCCTACCAGGAAGTATGAAGGATAACTTTTGGGAAATGGGCGAGACTGGACCTTGTGGACCATGTAGCGAATTGCATTATGATCGTATCGGTGATAGAGAAGCAGCTCATCTTGTAAACATGGATGATCCCGATGTATTAGAAATCTGGAATTTGGTGTTTATTCAATACAATAGGTATTTAGAATTTATATAATTCATTATTGAAGACCTCGAAATATAATCTGAATGATCTTAATTACAGGGAATCAGACGGCAGTCTTAAATCATTACCAAAAAAACATATAGACTGCGGCTTGGGTTTAGAGCGATTGGTATCAGTAATTCAGAACAAACGCGCTAATTATGATACTGATCTGTTCGTGCCTTTGTTTGCCGCGATTGAGAAAGGTACAGGTGCCCCACCCTATCAAGGTAGAATAGGTGCCGACGATATTAATGGAATCGATATGGCGTACAGAGTTCTAGCTGATCATGCTCGAACTATCACAATTGCTTTGGCAGATGGAGGAATGCCTGATAACACTGGTCGAGGGTAAGCAAAATTATAATGTATGTATCATATTTTTTAAAATATTAGTAAAAACATACAAATTTCATAAGTTATTTTCTATTTTTTCTATTTCTATTCTATTTTTTCTAAGTATTCTTTCTATCTATAAATTATTAATTATTTTTGTTTCTTACAATTGATTTAAAAAAATTTTTATTATCTATTAGGAAAAATATTAATTAAAAAATAATGGTTCCTAACATTCTCATGATAAAAATATATAAGTATTTATATTTTAATTTCTTTATAATCTATTTCATATTTTAGATAGTATAAATATAAAATAAAAAATGTTTTTTTAATTTCAATGAGTTTTTGCTATTGTATATCCAAAATTTTCTGTGCGTTTTTAATGCAACATATGATTATTTCAATATAGATATGTGCTAAGGAGAATTTTACGGCGCGCTGTGCGCTACGCAACCGAGAAATTAAATGCTAAACCGGGATTCTTTGCATCTCTTGTAAATGTAGTAGTAGATCTTCTTGGTAAATATCTTTCTATAATAAAAAAAACTTTGATACTTTCATTATTCGTACTATTTTTAAAAATCCGTCTTTTCCTGTTGCAGGTGAAGTCTTTCCAGAAGTAAAAAAAGACCCGCAAGGTATTATTGAGATCATCAATGAAGAAGAGGCTCAGTTTTTGAAAACTTTATCACGGGGTCGCAATCTGTTGAATAGGACAATAGCAAAACTGGAATCAACTGACATTGTACCAGGTGACGTCGCATGGCGTTTATATGATACTTATGGTTTCCCGGTAGATCTCACTCAACTAATGACTGAGGAGAAAGGATTAAAGATCGACATGGCAGGCTACGAAGAATCTAAGAAACAAGCGCAGGTATTATATGCCATTATATAACTTAACAATTAATTTATTAATTTAATATGACAAAAGCCCTTTCTACACATTGATATCCTTTATATTTTTTTCAATTATACAGTTAATTTCTCAAAACAAAGCCGGTGGTGTAAATGATCAAATTAATTTGGATATTCACGCCATCACTGAATTACAAAAGCAAGGCGTCAAACCTACAGACGATTCTCCTAAATATAATTACAAAGTAACAAACTCTGTTAAATATGAGGAATACGAATTCGCACCGTGTATTGGTACTGTAATCGCACTAAGACGCGCCAAGACTTTCGTCGACAAAGTATCTTCCGGCGAGGAAGTTGGAATTCTATTGGACAGGACAAATTTTTACGCGGAGCAAGGAGGACAGATATTCGATGAAGGATTTTTAGTGAAAGTTGATGATGAGGTATATTAAAATAAATTTATTCTAACTCTGCAACGAAAAGCACATCCTTAATAATATATTGCTTCAAAAGACTACAGAGATTCGCGTGAAGAACGTTCAAATCAGAGCCGGTTATGTATTGCACATTGGTACTGTCGGCGAAGGCACGTTAAAGAAAGGAGATAAAGTCCACGCGAACGTGGACACGGAACGTCGACGGTTCGTAATGGCTAATCATAGTGCCACACATGCCTTGAATCACGCGCTTAGGAAGGTCTTGGGAACGGAAGCCGATCAGAAGGGATCATTGGTTGCACCTGAGAGGCTTCGTTTTGATTTTACGAATAAAGGTACGTTTTCGAGAAATAAAATCAGGCTATTTATTTATGGATGAATTATTTCGATTGAATTTTTACGACAGGGCCGATGACAGGAGAGCAATTAAAAAATACGGAAACAATTACCAATGGCATGATTAAGGAAAATAAGAAAATTTATGCTAAGGAAAGCAGTTTAGCTGTAGCGAAAACTATTCAGGGTTTGCGTGCGATGTTCGAAGAAACGTATCCGGATCCGGTACGTGTTGTTAGTATGGGCGTACCGGTTGAGAATCTAGAAAAGGATCCCTTGAGTAAAGCCGCTCTTGAGACTAGCGTAGAATTTTGCGGGGGAACGTAAGTATTGTCTAAATAAAATTGATATATATTTTCATGCCCGTTTCTTTAAGTTCACGATTTGTTCCACAGGCATTTGCATTATACAGGTCACATAGGTGATTTTGTAATAGCTAGCGAAGACGCTATCGCTAAAGGTATCAGGCGCATAGTAGCACTCACTGGACCAGAAGCAACGAAAGCTATAAGAACGGCGACAATTCTGCAAAAGCAATTATCACAACTTCAAGCAACAATTGAAGCTGATAAGTCTGGGATGAACTCTAAGGAATATGTAAAGAAAATAGTAGAACTGACAGAGGAGATATCGCATGCTCTCATTCCCGCATGGCAGAAGGCAATTATATTTAATAAAACATTTTATTTTAGTCGATAAATTGTATATTATGCAAATAATCTTTTTGTCTAACAGGACAACATGCGTAACATGTTGAGAGAATTAAAGAAATCTCTCGATGATAAAGAACGAGCAGCGAAAGCTGCCGTCGCCAATACGGTTGTAAAAACTGCTCAGTCTATAATAGAATCCAAAATCGGATGCGAAGTATTGGTTCTGATGCTAGAGGCCTACAGTAATACGAAAGCTCTGGATTCGGCATTGAAGAAAATCAGAGCTATATCTCCAGAAACTAGTGCCTTGCTTCTAAGCGTTGATCGCGATGTCAAGAAGATATTTGCCCTCAGTTCTGTTCCCAAAGTAAGATTGTTTATTTTCAAGCTTCGTGATAAAAATCGAGAATAACCGTAATTGATACAAAATACAAACTTATTCACAGTCTGCAGTGTCCAAAGGATTGAAGGCGAATGAATGGATCCAGGCAATTGCAGGTTTGATGCAAGGCAAAGGAGGTGGAAAACCTGAATCTGCACAAGCTTCCGGTACCGATATAACACGTGTGAACGAAATACTGAGCAAAGCTAATGAATTTGCCAATCAAAAGCTTGGGATTTCATGTAAGCAATATATCCTGTTTCTTTATTCTTTCTATAGAATTATGAAATAACAAATCTAGTAGAGTTAATAAATTTAAAATTAGAATAGCATAAGTTATTAATCTCTTTCTATAGAATTATGAAATAAGTTCAGTAGAAGATTAAGATTTGGATTTGTGGAATAGTAATCTTGTATTAAATATTAATTTAGTTTATTAATTTATCTAAATTAATTTGTCATAGCAAATTTTGTCTGTTTTCAGACAATAACACTGTTAACAATGCTTGTAAGACTTCAGAAACTGATATTCGATTATTTAACACGGGATCTCAATCGAAACTGGTACTTTATGGGAACATTGGAAGCACTAAATGCTACTTGGCACAAATAATTGCACAGTATAGTGGCAAATGCTTAACTGTTAAGCAAATTGAAAATGATAAATTATGTTCTAGTGGCATAATATTAGAAACAGCAGATGTCACATTATATGGAAGTGATGCTATTGCATTCTTTTTGTCTAATTCGCAGTTACGGCGTGATGATGATTTGTTTGCATCCAGTCAAGTTCTGCAATGGATGTATTATGCGCGAAATCACATTTTACCAGCGGTCAGTGGTTGGGTGCTTCCGTCGTTTAGTAATTCGGTATCAAAAGATACGAAAGCAAATATAAAAATTTCTAAGGAAGAACTTCTTTGCGCTCTAAAACAGATGAATAACGTACTGTGTACAAAGACGTATTTGGTTGGGGAAAGGATCACTCTTGCAGATATATCTGTTTTTACCGCATTACTGCCTCTGTATGAACACGTGTTTGATTCACATTATAGAAAACTATATTCAAATCTAAATAGATGGTTCTCGACAATCCTAAATCAGCCGCAAGTAAAATGTATAGTAAAAAATTTTACATTTTTGTGAGGAAAGTATGCGCTATTATAATGATCTATAATGGCGTCTATAAAGACTCTCGTTTTATAAACGTTTTTATTATATAAAAATGCTGTATTACATAAATAATTCGCTGTTTTCTTCTGATGTATTAGCTTTAAGATTATCATACAATGTTCTAATCTCATTTAATAAAGTGGAAATATTAGTTCCTATCTTGGCAGAGATAGGAATTATTGGTAAATTTATATGTTCTCTGAGTAATTGTAAATTAATCTGAAATAAAAATTGCAATTTTTATAAGAAATATTCAAGATTTTTATTAAAATTGTTATAATAATTGAACCAATGAATTCGAAAAAAAATTGGAAATCTTAATCGCTCACCTCAGCATTTGGCAAATCGATTTTGTTTGCTACAATAATGTGAGGCCTTTCATTCAATTTTTCATTAAATTGACTAATTTCATATTTTAAAGTTTCCAGTGCTTTCCATGGCTCGTCTACCGTTATATCTAAAATAAATACTAAAGCGGCGCAACGTTCTGCGTGTTTAAGGAAAGTAATGCCAAGTCCTCTATTTTTATGTGAATCTTCTATGAGACCAGGCATATCGGCCACTAAAATAAATAAGCAGATTAAAAAAATATAAACAGATTAATTACATAAGAAAGAAGATATTTGTATGTTGCGTCATATAAATATGTAAATTACCTGCAACTTGTTCATAATCGTCGTATTGTATCATGCCTATATGAGGTTTTAAAGTAGTGAAAGGATATGCTGCTACTTTTGGCCTAGCCCTGGATATTGCCCTTAAAAGTGTACTTTTACCAGCATTTGGCAGACCAAGCTAGCAAGCCGATGAATATAACAACAAAAATTATTTTTGCATTATTTTTAAATATTTTACATAAAAATAATTCGTAAGTATCAATATTTTAATTTTTTTATATTATTTTTACCAATAACCCAGAATTACAATAGTAATTAAGGGATTATATTTACCAGTCCAATATGAGCCATACTTCTCGTTTCCAACACATACTGCAAATCTTCCCCAGTTGCGCCATATTCACATATTTCAGGCGCCTGTTGAGTGTCCGATGTAAAGAATGCATTTCCATGTCCGCCGGCACCACCTCTCGCGGCAATAAACATCATTCCAGTTTTGTCCAAGTCGGCTAATATCGTACCACTTACATCGCGCACGATCGTGCCGATGGGCACATTTACCACATTATGTTCTGCATTTTTACCGAAACAATTTTTGCTATAACCTTTTTCTCCATTCTTAGCTTTAATCACAGAATTTATATGCTTAAGATCCTTCACGTTCGAACTTGCCTAGACGGTAAAACTGCGCAATTGTATTCTATACAGATTAGTGTTGATATATCTAGCTATAGATATCTTTACATCATTTATTTTAGTCATAATTATCTTACTTCAAATATTACATGACCACCATGTCCGCCGTCACCACCGTCTGGACCAGCTCGATCATTAACCCACAATCGTAAGAACGATATCTGTCCATCGCCACCATTTCCACCGATTGTTCTCACCTAATGAAAAACGATTATAAATTGTACGTTTTATGAAATAGTAGAATATCTCACGAAGTGATGTTCTTACCTGTGTTATATCGACAAATTGTTGTAAAGTGTCATTTGTGGATTTCGGTTTCATGCTACGTAAAGCTTTCACTGTGGGCTTCTTCTCACAAACGCTCGCAGTGACAGACAACGCTCTAAGTATGTTCTCATTCGAAATTTTGCATCTGATTCTGCTCGATATGATTTCACAGCTTTGCCTTTGAATTATACCATATGCGATGGCACCCAAATGACAAAGACGATGCATCTGAAAACACAATTACAAACTGTAAATCTTCACATAATATAAAATCTTTACATAATATAAATGAGATAAATCAACATTTGCATGTACCATTTTAAGTCTAAGTTTTTAATGAAATATTTTGTATCAGCTGCATAGCGCCATGCCCAGGCTATCTTGAAACGATGACTTTAAATTCATCTTCTATAAAAGTCGCGATTATATTTTGATGTAATTCAATAACTCTCCTTCTATATAACGGTATATGATTCGATTTGTAATCTATTCTGTATGTTCTCTTTATTTTATCAGTAACAGGAGATAAATAACAATCAATCAAGTTTACGTTTTCAATAATAGATCCCGCATAATTATATAATGACTGATAAAATTCAGCCGTGTTAAAGTTTCTGTCAGTAGACAAAGTTATATCAAATGTAAAAATACACGGATAAACACATTTGATATCATAAACCGAATTATCTTGGATATTATTCGTTATATCCTTCCATTTAATATTATCTACAGTGTACGTAAATGCGTTTATCTTATTATTAGGCGCGATATTGTGCATTGTGGGTGGCTTGCCCTTTCCGAAGATATGAGTCAATGAATCAGCTGTGTGAAATTGTTTATCTAAACTGCGATAGCCTGTTACGATATAATTTTGAAAAGATTGCCACAAGAAAGATTCTACTTTCGTCAATATAAAATTCCCATGCGCAGCCATTTCAACGATTTTCCAGGAATCGTCCCAGCGTCTCCTGGGCTTATCCATAGGTGTTCCACCTTGACCGTTGCATAGTGTCACTAATACTTGACCATTCTCTTTTATCATTCTTTCGGACGATACAAAAAAGTCTCTCAGTAAGTCCCTATTTTTCTCTATTCTCATTTTACCGCCGACATGGGGAAAGTTAAAAATAATCTTATCGAACAGACGCGATCTTAAGGGACATTCCTCCAATTTTGTAGCATCCACATTAAACAACACGCAGATACCTGAAAAGAAAAGCATAAATTCCTTTTCTCATTGTTATAATTATCAGTTTTGTGAATGATACGCAAACTTATACTTCAAAATTTACTGACCATTGTTCCGAAGATAATCTACGTTTCTTTCCGCAGCTTCTTGACTCACGCTAGGTTCATAGCAGGTAGCAACGAGCTCGATCTTGAAATTGCGTTGTAACAACGCTACAGAAAACGAAAAGTTACCTTCTCCTACTAACAGTACGGAATCATTTTCGTTAAAAATCGACATCTTCACTCTCGTCACTGAAACTAATCGAGCCGTATACGTAACCATGTATTAGATAAATGCTTTTCTTTTCAGATAGAAGTAAATTGTCCAAAATTTAATCAAGCATTCGAATTTTTTTTCCTAAGCATCATCAACCCAAGTGATTTTGTGACACTTATTTTGAATGAAACCTCAAAAATTGCGAAATTTCATATCTTCTAAAAGTGTAGGATAAGGCTGAAGTTTGAACTTGTTATAAGTCAGCGTTATCCCTAGCCAGGTATTAAAGGTTAGGAAAATAGGTTAGGTACGATAATTCTTCGCAATTGAGATTGGGATGAATGTCAGGCAAGTTCGACTAACCTTCTACTTTAATATTATCCTCTCACAACGTATAATCTTATCGCCTATTCTTCGACAATGTATTTTGTTGAAAAAAAGATGTCAATGTCGAAACGGTGATATTCCACGTGAAATCTTCTTAATCCTTCTACATCCAACTGCACTAAAATCTTCTTTCTTGCTTTCATCCAACTTCAGATACATATATCTATCTCATTCTAAGTACATAACAAGTGTACATACGTTAATCCACTTATAAAAGAAACAAACTGTAATCCAAGAGATCAGGTATTGACGTTGTGACTCTAAACAATGCGGTGCTAAAATTCATATTGTGGATTTATAAATTTACATAATTATAATAATTCTCAGAGATTTTTCATGAATTATCAAGATATTATTTTTTTGACAGATAAAGCTACTTTGACAGCACGAGGAATCTTCAGTGGAACGAATAGCCACATGTGCAAAACAAAAAACTATTTTATAAGAAGATAATTTATACAGAGAATGGTTTTGATGATTAAAGTGAAAAGAGGACAATGATTTTATAAATGATAGTATAAAGGAAAACATTTTGTTGTTCAAGAGAAGGTGAAACAGTTTTCAGAACTTTAGCTTCAGTTTGTTCTAATTTTCGAGAAGTATTCCAACATATGTAAGATGTTTGCCAGAAGCAGAATCGTGCTTAGCTGCACGAATATTACAACAAAATACTATGTATTTCCATTAATAAGTAATTTACAAAAAGTAAATATAAGTTTCTAAGTGTTCTATGATAGTTTTGATATCACAGTCTAAATCAATATCCTTCTATATTCACATAAAATGAAAAATATCATACAAAATTCTGTTTTAGTTTTTAATAAAGGATCAGTCTTCAGTCTCAATAGCTTCTGTACACAATCTAGTGGTTGGTAAATCAGCATCATTGATAAAGGAACCAGTTTTGCCTGCCAACAGATATGTCTTAAGAACGCATACATGTGGTGAACTGACACTTAAGAATGTTGGAGAAGAAGTGAGATTAAGTGGCTGGATGGAATTTCAGAGAATGAAAAAGTTTGTAACATTAAGAGACTCGTATGGATCAACACAGTTGCTTATACCAGAAGATGTACGTGAATAATTGTTGTTATGTTACAAAATTAATTCTTAACAATACCATATAAAGCATCAAAAAGTTTCCCGTGATTTTAGAGAAAGGATTTGGCAGAAATTATACAGAATTTATCTTTCGAAAGTGTCTTAAGCATAGTAGGCAAAGTCGTATCAAGACCTGAAGGCCAGCAGAATAAGAAAATGAAAACGGGCGATATAGAAGTGTATGTAGAATCTCTGAAGGTTCTAAACGTAGCATCGCAAAATCTTCCACTGTTCATTAGAGAGTATAACAAAGCCAAGGAGAGTCAGCAAATGAAATACAGATATCTATCGTTAAGATACCCCGAACTGCAAAAAAATTTAAGATTACGTTCTTCCTTCATTATGAAGATAAGAGAATTCCTGATAAATGAATGTAGCTTTGTGGACATCGAGACGCCCACGCTGTTTAAAAGTACACCAGGGGTATTCTTTTTATTTAATTTTTATTAAATTTATATTGCAAATATAAAAATTATGTTATTGTTTTCAGGGCGCGCAAGAATTTATAGTGCCCACGAGACAACCGGGTAATTTCTATTCATTGGTACAAAGTCCTCAACAGTTTAAACAGCTTCTCATGATTGGCAGCTTTGATAAGTACTTTCAAATCGCTCGATGTTACAGAGACGAAGGCGCTAGGCATGATAGACAGCCAGAGTTTACGCAAGTAATTATATTATATTCATGTATAAGAATTATATTTTATTATTAGCTATGTGTTATCAGTATTAAATATCATTAATTGTAATTGTAATTAATTGTAATCATTAATTGTATTATAGTTAGATATTGAAATGTCGTTCGTTGATCGAGACGGAGTAATGAGTTTAATTGAAAATTTATTAATGTACTCATGGCCAGAAGAATTAGGCTCCATAAAAGTGCCTTTCAAACTCATGATGTATGAAGACGCAATGGAATTGTATGGTAGTGAACAACCGGATTTGAGGATACCGTATCAAGTAAGAAAATTCCTTCATCTTTTATTTTGCGAAATTAATGTGATGTTTTAAATACAATAATACAAACTTGCTTTTTATGTATACAGATACAAGATCTCACACATATGTTTGATCTACCAATATTAAAGGAAGCTGTGAAACCTAAAGATGGTGAACAGAAAGTGTACGCGTTAGTTTTTTCAAAAAAATCGGTAAGTATTCAATTGGATTTATACCCATTGTATAAAATAAACATAGCTTTTTGTTGATATCATAGAAATACTTAACAAAATCTGTCAGAGAGGAACTCTCGAAGATTCGTAGTGATTATTTCCATACTACGAGACTAGTTCAATTAAAAATTGAAAGCAATTCGTGGAGAGCACAGTTAGATAAATTTAAATCGAAATCTGCTACTATAGCGGAAGATGTATCACAGTATTGCAAGTTGGAGGAAGGGGATGTACTATTATTAGCAATTGGACATCGAATGGATGCAGTAAATATAAAAACCGAACCCTCTCTTTTTTTTCTTTAATGAGATAATAAACTATTGTTTTCACTTACAAATACTATAAATTTTAGTTAAAACTCTTAGGAAAGCTACGTATCGAATTTACAAATATATTAGAAGCAAAAGGTGAACAGATACGTTCGTCCGAAACTGAACTTTTATGGATCACGGACTTTCCGTTGTTCACATTCGAAGAATGTACACTGCAATCAACGCATCATCCATTTACGCAACCGCATCCAGATGACATGGAATACCTCACAACTGATCCTCTAAAGGTCAGTGAAAGAGTTAAATGGGATAATTAATTTTGTTATTTTTTACGTATCTTCCTTTTGTAGGTGAGAGGTTTACATTACGATCTGGTTATGAACGGAACGGAAATAGCGGGTGGTTCCATTCGAATCCATGACGCAAACTTGCAGCGAGAAGTATTGAGGATGTTAAACATAGATGAAACAAAATTATCGCACATGCTCGAAGCATTGACTTACGGAGCCCCACCTCATGGTGGAATAGCCATAGGTACTAATTGTCAAGTAATAAAATAGCATTTGTCAATTAAAATAAAACATGTTCATTTATTTTTCAAGGATTGGATCGACTCGTTTGTTTACTTTGTAATGCAAAAAGTATAAGGAGCGTTATAGCTTTTCCAAAAACGATGGAAGGACGAGATCTAATGTCCGGAGCACCTGATGTCATTTCAGACGAGTTGAAGACTTTGTATCATATACAAACGGTGAAAAAAGTGTCGTAAAATTTTCTTTTTTATAACAGGTTTGTATTATGTGTATATATATATATATATATATATATATATATATATATATATATATA